TTATGCAGAGAATTTCCTAAAAAAAAACTTCTAACTCAATTTTAGTGACTTAGGCTATATTCACACTGTGAGTCCAAATCAGTTTATTTGTGTATCCTATTGGAATCTGATCTGTCCACAACGGTTCAGATCTGATTTGTGTGTCCATGTGTCTTTCGTTTTCTGGAATATCTGCATTGGTTTCTATGGCAATGATGTTGCGTCGGTAGACCTACTCCACACTCGTAGAAGAAATGGTTCTATTTAGAACCAGAAATGGTTCCATCCCCCGCTTCATATATGGAACTCCAAAATGGTTCTATATAGAACATTTTTTTTTTTTGGTAAAAGGTTCTATTGGCCAAGTATGGAACCCCAGGGTTCTAAATAGAACCCTTTTTTTAAGAGTGTATAGAACCTTTTAGGGGTTCCAAATACGTAGCGCTGATAGAACCTTTTAAGGTTCTATAGAACCTTTTCTTCTAAGAGTGAAACAACGAGCACAACTTGAAGGCGTTTGCAATACACATGCAACCAGCTGGATGTACATTATCCCTTACGTATAAGTTAAGCGAGGTAATGCATTAATGAAGTTGTAATTTTGCGATGTGTATATACTGACACAGAGCTCTGACGGTCTGCACAAGCTCAGCAGTGTGTTATGCGAGTTATATTTGTGGGCCAAACAAGTATCTGTTCCTTCAATAACAGTTTGCCTCTCCAGAATCTTCCAGCTAAATCACATTAGCAAACAGACTTCTGCCTGTCCCGAAGCCAGCGCAGTAATTGCCCTTGTTTTTTAGATCTAGACAACCATCTTTCCAGAATCTCGATGGGTTGTCCTCTTTTCTAACCTGCCAATATATACAGAGATTTCATTTCCAATGCAAAAATAAGTTGTTGTATTTTACAATGATTTATCCAGATCTGCTTCTCTCAAGTTAAACTCCAGTCAATGATGTTTAAAGTCAACCTAAAACTAATGTTGTTGTGACTGCCTTTATAATCATACTGTGATGCATTTCAGAGTACACTTGGAACTCTCAGATAAGTTCGCATGATTTTATTAGAATTTACAATCTGGATATTTATCGAACTTCTGGGTCTTCGTTTTTGTCAGTCTGTGCAAATATACTTCTCACAGGCTGATAAACCGGCAGTCACTTCATATTATGGCGCAGTGGTATAGTGTTCCCAAAGCGTCAGCTACTGGCACAGTATCTCGTTCTCTACCCAGGGAATCAAGGTGACATGTGTAACTGAGATATTTCTCATTGAAAGCTAATTAAACTAAAAGATGCATTAGCTATCTGCATGAATGGCATGAGTGAACGTGCAGAATTAGACATTGTGGTGGTGAAAACTGTGTGATTTCTCAAGGCTGCACTGTTAAGGCCCTTGCACGCTGAGACCGAAATTCGTGTCCGAAATTTTCGCACCATAAAAAATAAAAACAAACTCGCGTTATGTCAATCACGCTTGCACACTGCCTCCGAAACTTTCGTCTGTCATTAAAAAAAATCGTCCCGGGTTCGTTTTTTCTGCGTTTTATCGCATCCGTAGCAAGCAGTTTGAATGGTGTTTTGACAATTTAAAGCCACCGAATCACGAATTCGGGAAAAAACGCATACGAAAATATAAAGTCAAGTCAAGTCACATTTATTTATATAGCGCTTTTCACAATACAAATTGTATAAAGGCCTTTAAGATGTCGCATGGTACTGCACAACACCACATTTCCACATTACAGTAAAATACCTTAGTTTATATGGCATTCTGGGTCATTTTGATTGAGCGAGATTATTTTACAGTATATTTTAGTGTTCCTGTACATTGTAAAAAAGTGATCGTGTTTTTAACGGTAAAAGACTGTAAAAATGCTACTGTGAAAAACTGTTAATAACAGAAAGTTTCCTTACTGTATATGGTAAATACCTATAATAGTAGGAAAAAATACATACTATGGTAGTAAATGGGGAATGAGATCTGTTTGATTAAAACATTCTTCCAAATATCTTCCTTTGTGTTCAGCAGAACAAATAAACACAGAGAGGTTTGGAACAACATGAGGGTGAGTAAATACTGACAGAATTTTCAATTTTGGGTGAACTAACCCTTTAATATAGATGAGATATTATAGTAAAATACAGTACAAAAAAAAGGTTGTAATTTGTGGAAGGTGTTGCGGTAATGAGAGAAATTAAACAAAATAATGCTAATTTAAAAATAAATATTATTTCAGATTTCTAAGTAACTGTGCATGACTGTTAATAATCGGTTTTTAAAAATATTTAGTTTTCTTACGGTGTTGATGTTTTCAAACTGTTGCGGTAATGAGACTTTTTAGGACTTGTTAAAGGAAATTATGCCCAAAAAGGTCTTAAATTGTAACTAAATGCATTTAAATGAATGTTCACAAATTCTCCAAACTTTGTTTCTAATGTCTGATTGGGTTTTTTTTTTAATTTTCATGTTTGAATTTTTTAAAACCAAGCTTTCGTGAGAATCACCCATATAATACAATTGAAGAGTTCAGATGCAAAAGCCTCTAAATGCCATTAGAAATTTTCTTCTTTAATGATGATTTTTATCAAACTTGTATATTTAAGTTCAGTAATTTCACTTAAATAACAATTAATAGGTAATTATCATTGCCATTTAAGTGAAATCACTGAACTTAAATATACAAGCTTGATAAAAATGATCATTCTAGAAGAAAATTTCAAATGGCACTTAGAGGCTTTTGCATCTGAACTCTTCAATTGTAAATTGCATTACAGTACATTTACTGTAAGCCAAAATACAGCAACTTACTGCAAGTAACTTTATGTAATTACACAAGGAATTGTTTCCAGTGTGCACGGACATTTACTTGATGGTTTTTCAGTGCAGGGAACCTCAGAGGAACAGCTTCAACTTCTCTCGGCCATCTTGATTCATTCAAGTCCCTCTTTCGAGTGATTTCTCTAAACACATAGCCTTGCTTGTTCCATGTACATTGCTGTGCATTTTAAGCAGGCCATGTGGTGGGCTTCTATGGCAATTCTCCATCACTGCAGACATGAATGAGCTTTTTGTTTGATCTCACAACTTGTTTTCCAAGACGTCTGTTCTGTTGCTTGGTTCTGGTTCCTGTTTCCTGGATTTGGTTTGAGAGTTTTTTTTCCACCCCTCTTCTAACCTTCAGCTCTGAGAGGACGTAATTTTTGAGCGCTGCACCTCAACTGCTGACAACTTTGTTCCAGAAACTATGTTACAATAACTACAAATCCTCACATTGCCACATCCCACTTTCCCAGGCCAAGTGTCCAGAGCTCCAGGTGCAAGCATGGGTCCAAACTTTCTACAAGGCTATGTAGATACAATGGAAACTAAACTGTAGCAGTCATTGCCAGACCGGAGCTACAGTGGTTGTCGTTCACTCCGCAGCCCCTTTCAAAACAATAGCACTTCCATAAAAACATAACCTGGAAATGGCTAAAGCCAATTCATTTAAATCTCTATTCCACTGAGGCTTCTGAAAGCAGTCAATGTCTTCTCTTTCTCTCTGTAATCAGGGAGAAAGGGAGTAATATCCTGAAAGTGGCTGACCACAGACATGGGTTTCAAAAGGATGGTGTCTAGAGGAGGAAGGGAGAGGCTGTGTGTGTGTGTGATAAGTGTGGTAGACTTTTTGGCTGGAGGATTCAAAGAAGCTGTAGTTTTCCAACATGCATTTCAAAGGCTTTCTCTCGCAATTAAATGTTTACAATTCTGAATCTATGAAAAAATAAAGCACTTCCTTGCGAAACCTAAACCTTTCTTTAGTCAGAAAGAAAAAAAGAAGCCATTTACCGTAAAAACGAGTCCTAAATAGACGCCGGTCTCTTTTACACGCCTGCTGTGGTGACAGGTTTGAATAAATAAAGGCTGGACATACAGTAATATAGTAGGTAGGGGTGTAACGGTACACAAAAATCACGGTTCGGTACGTACCTCGGTTTTAAAGTCAAGGTTCGGTACGTTTTCGATACAGCAAAAAGAAAGAAATGCCAGAGAAATTTCCTATTTGTTTAAAGAAAAAATATTTTTAAATAAGTGTGAGTTTTCCTAGATCTTGAAACTTTCAGGTTTATAAATGGGGGTCATCTTTGAAGGATGAACAAATAATGTTTTGGTCATCACATTAAAAATAACATTTAAATATATATTTATTTATATAATATTTGAATTTTGAAGTGCTGGAAAAAGATGTGTGAAGTACTTGAAAGCATTTCACCATTCCAGCCAAACTGGTTCCAGTTAGTGTTACTATATTAAATCCATGGTGAATGTTGCTGGTCTGTGGACGTAAAGTATTACTAGTTCATTCACGGCACAATGTTTCTCCTGGTTTCCATGACAGCGCTGTTTGATCTAATAGAGATCTACAGTTATTAACGGAGAAATGTGAATGCATCTCACTAGATCTCGCAGCGACGTTATTACCTCAGTGGCGAATTCAAATGTGTTCTTTACCGGATCTCTTAGCGCGGTGTGGTAACAGTGTCGCTTGATCGAGATCGGCTCGCGCTGCACAGATGTTGCTGGTCCGAGCTGATAAACGATCCGTGAAGCACATAACGAGGAGCGCAGTTTCGTTCTGCTTTCATTACCCTTGCCATTTGGATGTTGCGCGACGTTGTGTTGGCCGCGTCAACACGAATTTTGCCGGCAAGAAAAATGGTCCAAGCAATCGTTCGGTTTGTATGCGTACCGAACCGGAAGCCTCAAACCGAAACGGTTCAATACGAATACATGTACCGTTACACCCCTAATAGTAGGCTAATTCTTACATTAACTTATTTGTTAAACAATTTGATGCTTTCCGTCTATCAGCCTATGCTATTTGGATCGTTATCTCTAGGCCTACACTTAATGAACAACATCTCAACACTAAATTAAAGGCCTGTCTCATATACAAGCCGACGCAGTTTTACGGTAGTCTGTTTAGCCATCTGCTAAAAAGATTGATTGAAAAATGATTTACATTGTGAACTCACCTTTTTCTTGCTGCAATAGATCTGCCATTTCTTCTCATCAGGCAAAGCAAACATGGCTTCCCTGTTCTTGTCTGTGAGATCCAATTCATCCTGAAAAAGGGAAAAGACACGACAACTGAGCCACCCATAACCTCATACATCTTAAAAAGCATGGTGATAGATATAATGCCAGCCCAATTTGTCACTGTGTGTGTTGTAATCGTTACAGCATTCAAATAAAACAGTGTAGTTCATGTGTATTTGTAGTACATTCAGGTGTGTGTAGAGTGTGTAAGTTAAAGAGAAAGCATGTAGCAACCTCAACTTTACATATTGTAACAAACCACAGGATTAGTTCGCGTGTCACTTGCCGTGGATTATTTCCAATCCAGTAAGCCCTCGGGTTGAGTTTGAGCTACTGTGAAGCTCACATAGCATTAAGAGTGTGTGAATGTCATTAAATTAGAATAAAATAATATCTAATCATATTAATGAAGTAAAGGGCAGCACAAGCTGAGAAACTGGGTTTTATATGAAAGTTAGCAGTAAAATGAATAAAAGTATAGATAAAACATTGTATGGCAGATTTAGTGGAACATGTCATGAACTAGTACAACTATGTGAACATCATAGATCAGTAGTTAAAATGTAAGAATAAGAGTAATATTCTTAATAAATCACATTTCTCACATTGCTCAGTAGTGGGACAGTATGTCTAACATGCATTTCTAATGCGTAATTTACATTCCCAAGTATCTCTAAACAAAAATAAAAAAGAAACATCTATGTCAAAAATAAATGTCGAATACATTTTTCTCCAAAGGATCTGACAAATTTCTCTAATACCTTGAAATGAATTTGTAAATCCAACAAATTAACAAAAAAAAGTCCAACTATTTTAAATAAATACAAATTTCTGTCATGAAACTCTAAATGGGACAGCTCCTCAATCTGCTTGCAATCTATAGGGTACAGCTGATTGGTTCCTGCTGTATCAGTAGCCAATGAGCTCGCTGCTCAGCATCTGCAAGCACATATCAACATTCTAATTTCCATTACCATGCCATACACTTATTCTAAATATAATTTAAATAATATAAGGTTAAATATGATCACAATTATGGGCAGTGGTGGAATGTAACGAAGTACAAATACTTTGTTACTTTACTTAAGTAAATTTTTCACGTATCTTTACTTTACTTAAGTAGAATAAATAGTGCATACTTTTTACTTTTACTTCGTTACACTTTGCAGCAATTATTATACTTTCTACTCCACTACATTTATACAACTTCTGTTACTTTTTCATTACATTTTCTGATCAGTTTTTCCCCGGCCAAATCGTCCGTTCGTTGCAAGTTTGTCTCACCAGTGACGTTTGGTTGCCATAGATACATCAACCCGGTCACACTAAATGCGTCTCGCACGCATCGTGCAATTTATACGCGAAAATTAGTTTTTACGTGCATAGGAAACACACCATTTGTAATATACGTTTGGTTAGGATTATGGCAAGCAAAGAGGTTCAGAATTACACCATAAATTAATCGCGTTTACTGCCAAACATAGTTATTAACATATAGTAAGGATAAGCATGTGATGTGCATATTGCCTTGCAAGCTTGTCTCAGAAATGGTGACATTTTTTTCCACCACTATTGAACATCATTATACGAGTATTAGGTTGAATCAGTTAGAATTAAATGTTTTATTAATCATTAGAAAATAGACATTAAGAGAATAAATTGTTATGCAAGTAGGCTACTTTTAAAAATAGACATTAAGAGAATAAATTGTTATGCAAGTACTTTTACTTTTAATACTTAAAGTACATTTAAAATCAGGTACTTTTTACTTTTTACTTAAGTATGGTTGTCATTGTGTTACTTCTACTTTTACTAAAGTAAATATTTATCTGGTTATTTGTACTTTTACTTAAGTACTGAAATTCAGTACTTCCTCCACCACTGATTATGGGTGATTTAGACTGGTAATGAGATGTATTGTTATGTATTCTATTTAGAACTGTAGATTATGTTTCAGGAATATAGAAAAAAATGAACAATTTGACAATTTGATTCCCAATTGTTCTCTATTGAGGCATGGGCATACAATAATGTGTGAGAGAGGGAACAAGGAAAAAAGGCAGGGTTAAAATGAGGGAGGTGCAGGAAAGACTTTGTGAGGAAAAGATTTAGAGATGGTCAAAAATGGAAGGAAGTCATATGTGGCCCACAGAGGACTGACAGGAAACGGTTTCAGCCAGCAGGGACCAAGCAGAGAGCATCATAAAAAAGCAAGAAAAAAAATGAAGAAAGTACAACTTAAGAGGAATAAATATGAAAACATAGAGTAAAATGTAGCATAAAATCAGGCCTCATGTTAACACTCTTAGAAGAAAAGGTTCTATATAGAACCTTAAAAGGTTCTATCAGCGCTACGTATTTGGAACCCCTAAAAGGTTCTATACACTCTTAAAAAAGGGGTTCCTCTGGGTTCTATATAGAACCCTGGGGTTCCATACTTGGCCAATAGAACCTTTTTGGAGTTCCATATATGAAGCGGGAGATGGAACCATTTCTGGTTCTAAATAGAACCATTTCTTCTAAGAGTGTAATGATGGAAATTTGTTTTTTTGTGTCTCATTTTTGACAACAAAACTATAATTGTATCTGTACAATATTTAAATGAAAGATAATAGGCCTTTTGAAGAGTAGCATTGCAGTACATGGGTTTCTACGGACTACTTTCCATTATGAAAATGAGCAATCTGGAAATTCAAAAGATATATTTTATTAGAGATCACTTCCGGCGCCCGAGCCCTCAGACCACTTGGACGTGGCTGTGGTTAAAAGAGGTAAAAACGATATAAATACTGTTTGTTTTCTCACACAAACCGCTCGTTTCGTGTCTTAGGCCATCAATGTGTACTTACATTTACGAGTCATTAAATCATGTTTAATCTGGACTTCTCTGTGCATGCTCTTTGAGGTGGTGACCATAGACCTCCATTATATGACTGACAGACAAGAACGGTTTGACCTAAAAATATCAAAATAGAAACTACTGTGGAAACAAAGACACCTACATCTTGGATGCCCTAAGATAAACTATCCCTTTAAGGATCAGTCTCACTTCCACTTAAGTAAATCGGACGTTCCTAAACTGGCAGAAACAATCTCTCACAATGACAAACCAAACCTTATTCGTCACACACTTCCTCTACTGACCCACTCCCTTCTCATCCAGATCTAATCAGCTGATTCACGATGAGAGGACAGAAAGGTTGACTGAGGTGACAGCATTAGTCAGGAAGCTCATTGGCCGATACCACCACACCCAGAGGAAGAAACACATCTCTGACCTCTCCACTGCAGGAAGGCTGGGCAGCCGAAAGGAGGGAAAGGGCTGTACCGTCATTATGCCATGTTATTCTGTAATCTTCACTCATTATTTCATTTGAAAAAAAAAACTGTCTGACTAATCAGGCATCATTGCTTCATTTTATCATTTCTTTCTCCTTTAGACACACATATACAAGCACATTCACACACACACACACACACACACACGCAGACGCAATGCTAAGTCTAAACGAAAGGTTTTGGAAATACTAATTGCGTCCGATGACGATAAACTCTTCCAGATTTAAGACAACTTATTATTAATTGTTCTGACAGGGTCTATTTATTTTATATTTTAAACAATTCAATGTTCAATCAAAATGTTATCTGTTTGACCACACATATGGCATTTTTTTGAACGAGTCTAAAATTAAGCGCATCATAAAAACAAATTTATGTAAACAGTTCAAATCAATTCAGTATAGTTTTAAATTGCTTTATGCACGTTTTTCCACATTGACAAGTTTGAGGTGGACATTTATGCATTTATCTTTTTTTTTTTTTGCACTTTTGAGAAATTTATCTAGTTGATATTGATTTATTACAAACATAGCCTTCAAATTGGGAGAGTAAAGATTGTTTTGATGTATGAAAATGAATGACACAGCCCAGCATGTAAAAATACAAAGATATACTCTGGTGGAATTGTTGTATGGCAGGTCATAAAGGGTTCAATTCTACACTCTAAAAATTCCTGGGTTGTTTTAACCCAACTTTGGGTCAAATATGGACAAACCCAGCCATTGGGTTAAATTTTTTAATTCAATTTTTAACCCAACATTTGGGTTTGTCCATATTAGATCCAAAGTTGGGTTAAAACAACCCAGCATTTTTAGAGTGTACAATAATGCATAAAGTTCCTGCATCTTGTTATTGACGGCCTCTTCAGACAAACACATATGAAGAGTTCAGATGCAAAAGCCTCTAAATGCCATTTGAAATTTTCTTCTTTAATGATGATTTTTTATCATACTTGTATATTTCAGTTCAGTAATTTCACTTAAATAACAATTAATAGGTAATTATCATTGCCATTTAAGTGAAATTACTGAACTTAAATATACAAGCTTGATAAAAATCATCATTAAAGAAGAAAATTTCAAATGGCACTTAGAGGCTTTTGCATCTGAACTCTTCATATACACTCTTTCTCAGTGCATTGATTTGTGTTTCATGTTTTTTCTCCCTCGAAACTGTGTGGCTTCTCAGGTTTCGGCTTCATCTGTTCATGCATCTGCTCGTTTCTGCCTTCAGCTTTAATATCAGCTGACCTGTGTCATGTCCTCACAAAACTCATTACTACAGCTGGCCCACGTGCCCATTTCTTTTAAAAGTAGACACGCATACACACACTCAAACAAATCCTGGGTTGTTTTAACCCAATTTTGGGTCAAATATTCCAAATATGACCCAATGGCTGGGTTTGTCCATATTTTACCCAAAATTGGGTTAAAACAACCCAGCATTTTTAGAGTGCATGAGTGGATAAACACACACATGCACTCAAACACAAGACAATGAGCCAGTGACAGAACCCCCACACAAACAGTTACAAGATAGAACCACACAACACACAACTTTCTGATAAATCCCACGTGTTTGCAAGAGGCTGTTGTATCCAAATGTGCAAGCCATCAACGCACACAGCCACATGTCAAGAAAAAACAAACGAGTTGCGGATTGATTGCTTCCACTCAAGCCTGCACTG